TGCCTCGGAAACCCAAGGAGGGGTCGCTATGAGTCGGGGCCGACTCGACGGCACATAACAACAACAACAACAACATACCTTATGCTGGTGTAAAACAGCTGATAATCTTCTAAACAGATCTTCTGCTTTACTGAAAATAGTCAGAAATCCACTTGCATTTCTATCAATCATAATAGAAAAAATAGATTCATCTCCTGCTTCACCCACTCCCTTAAACTGATTTGGAATTCCGATGAACCTCTTCATTTCTCTATAATATTTAGCTCGGATTTCTTCAAAAGGAGGCCTGAACTGTAACCGTCCCTGTCTGAAAGTGAATAAATAGCTTTAAAATATAAATTATTAGAAAGTTAGAGATTGAAAATTAAATTGGGGTTGAAAAAGACTTACTTGTAAGTTAAGTCTATATTTATTTCTGGCAGATTCTCATTAAGTGCTTCTAAGCCCATTTGATACTGATGTTCCAGAGCTTTGTATAGTTGATGATTCCAGTGCTGTTTCCATGCATGCATGTCACTTGCTTGAAATCCCTAATATGTTACATTCACATTTACATTTAAGTTGGGCAGTAGAATGAAGCTTTCATTTGTTTTCATATCACATAAAACAGAATTATAAGCAAAAAATTCATTTTAAATAAACATCGTAAAACAGGCAACTCCTTAACTGCCACTTTCAGTAGGAGTTTATCTTAATAAAATATGAAACCCTCCAATTTTAGGGTCAAGAATTTTCTAACATAAATAAACCAAAAACCAAACCCACTGCCATGGAATTGATTCCAACTCACGGCGACCCTTTAGGGCAGAGTGGAACTGCCCCACAGAGTTTTCAAGGTTGTAAATCTTTGTGGAAGCAAACTGTATCATCTTTCTCCTGCGGAACAGATAATAGGTTCAAACTACTGACCTTCTGGTTAGCAGCCATATGCTTTAACCACTATGCCACCAGAGCTCCTTCTAACATAAACACATGCTTATAAATAATCCACAAAGATAAGTAAAATTTAAAAATCAAATTAATGTATAATTGATTTTTATATTTGGACTTTACTTACAACGTTTACAAAAAAAACTAAAATAGGAGTCGTGTTTAAATGTACACGCAGACCACTCAACCCAGAGTGGCACACCCACATACTCTATGGAAACGCATCCCTTGGAGCAATCGACCACAGGGCACCAGAGGGGCAACATTAGCAGGGAGGAAATACAGGACACACAGGAGTGCATAACAAGGAGGGGCATGGGATGGACGTACTGGGCATGGAGGGGAGGAGACTGGGTTAGGGTTGGGGATGGTAAATGGAGAGTGAAACTAAATGTACACGTAATGTTGAATGTAAAACCAACTCTGCTCTGTAAACTTGCACCTAAAGCACAATTAAAAAAAAAAAAACTATAATACGAACATTTTATTTTGTGAATGTCAGGTTTCTTTCAATCAGTACATTTAGCTCTTACATCCCTTATCATTCCCCTAAATATTCCACTGCATATTTAAAAACTGAAGAATTTAAAAGGGGAGAATTCTCAGAATACTTTATACACTTTATTTTCCAATCATAAATATATCAACTCTAAGACTTAACTAAGGAGCTCTGGTAGCACAGTGCCTAAGGCACTTGACTGCTAACCAGAAGGCTGGCAGTTCAAACCCACCAGCCACTACTCGGAAGGAAGGTGGGCAATCTACTTCCGTAGTGATACTGCCTCGGAAACCCAAGGAGGGGTCGCTGAGTTGGGTCCAACTAGACAGCACATAACAACAAAAACAACAACAAAACTTTGTTTTTCTTAAAGTTCTAAGAACTGGAAAATATTTACAAATATATAAGATACCTAACTTATATTTAACTAAGATCTCCTTGTCGTCAACTATGTAGCAGGCACTGTGCTAGCCACTTTTACATACATCATTTCTTACACTAAAACATACACAGAATTAAAATTGTGCAATGTCACAATAACTAAAAGTAAACTAACAAATTACAGGTTTTTAAGCACCAAGTCGGAAAACTACAAACTCTGAATTGAGGGATGTGACATTCCATAAAAGAAATAGAAACTTTTTTCCATTTCTTAAATGGAAATGCATTGTTAATTTATGATCTTTATATATAACTTAGGAGCTCTGGTAGCATAGTGGCTAAGGCACTTGACTGCTAATCAGAAGGCTGGCAGTTCAAACCCACCAGCCACTCCTCGGAAGGAAGATGGGCAATCTACTTCCGTAGTGATACTGCCTCAGAAACCCAAGGAGGGGTCGCTATGAGTTGGGTCCGGCTCGACGGCACATGACAACAACAACAACATATATAACTTAGTCAAGGAATTCTAAATTTATGAAAAATTTATTAGCAGAGATTTAAAGATAACCTTTATAAACTTCATATTCACATTCTGAAAAGGTCACACTTCACAGTATAAATAAAAGGAAAGTACACTCTACCTGTGCTTCTACACTTGCTAAACCAGTTCTCAGTTCTTGCAGTCCATCTTTCCAACGCTGCTGCTGCCGAAGCAGATCAATATTCATAAGAATTACCACCTGTTAAAAATTGAGCATAATAATGTCAAAGCATTACCCAAAAACAGTTACTTGGCAACAGATAAACCTGATAGAGACTACCTTAACTAAGTGATCAAGGTTAACTTAACCTATAATAAGACATATTAATATCACATACTCCTGATATGATAACACGGACTAATGCAAAACATAACTTCTGTGGTATTCCTGCTAGAATTGCATAACCCAGTCTAGTAGTGAGAAAACATCACATAACCCCAAATGGAGAGACATTCTACAAAATAACTGACCAGCACTCATCAAAAGTATCAAAGTCATGAGAGACAAGGAAAGAGTGAGGAGGAGGAGGAGGAAGGGACCAAAGAGGTACAACTAAATGCAAGGAAAGGTCCTAGACAGGACCCTGGAGAATAAAAAGGGCATTAGCAGAAACAATTACAAAATTCAAAACAGTCTATTTCCTAGTTTTGATAACTACACTACACTATGTTCATGGAAGCTGTTAACTTTAGGGAGGCTGGGTGAAGGGGAAATGTGAAATCTTCATACAATTTTTGGAATTTTTCTCTAAGTCAAATTGTTTCAAAATAAAAAAACTTTTTAAAAATTCCATCAATTACTTTTTAGACACAGGGAAAAGGTAATCACAGAGAGGAATTAGAAGAGAGTTGTTATATTGTAAAGATTTTAATTAATATAGTAAAATGTATATGAACTACTGAACAGAAAACAAATTTGCTCCGTAAACTATCACGTAAATCACAATAAAAAGTTTAAAAAAAATTTTAATTAAAACATATATATGTGTATGTGTGTGTGTGTCTATGCATACACACACATACATATATATCAGCTACTTTTTACCTAAGAGTATTTGTAACTTATTCAATTTTATAAATAAAATATACCTTCTCACAAAATGTAGTGTGCCATTTTCTCAATTTTCTATTTTCAGTGGCAAGTCGTTCAGCAGCATTTTGGAGTTTTTGGATGTAGCCTTCTAATTCTTTAGGATTATCCCAAGTAATCTGTGACTTTCCCCCACTTCCAGCTTTTGAATTCTAAGGCACAACAAATGACATTTAGTATATCAAAAGTATTTCTTTTTTCTAAGTCCAATTACTCCTAACACTGACCTGTTAAAGAAAGCATATAACAATTTTCCCATTTTATAAATGATAAGGTACTGTGGTCAAGATGGAGTAGACCCATACATCACAAGTCCTCCCTCTTACAACTAAAAACTTTGAACATAATACTAACAAGCAAGCATAAGAAGGCTCTGAAGTTAGAAAGAAAAAAGGAGACAGCCTAAAAACCCTGGGAATGGAGGAATGGCAAGGTGGAGAGTATTCTTATTACCTCGCATATATTCAAGACAGAGCACTAGAGAAATTTCTAAAACAGAAACACCTACAGGGACAAAACTCCTAGCCAAAAGACTAAGAAAAGGGTAGTCAAACAAAAGAAATTTTTTTTTTTTTTTTTAGCAGCACCTACTGCCTAAGGCACTTGACTGCTAACCAGAAGGCTGGCGGTTCAAACCCACCAGCCACTACTCGGAAGGAAGG